TGTACACCAAATTAGCCCCATGGTTTCTGATAAAGTGCCGTTTGCATTAAAAGACTATAATCCCCCCAAACTGTCTCAGAGACCTGTAACACCTAGGATTGCCTTTAGAGAGGATGTAATTTGCAGTACTGTGAATTCCACATTGGCATGCCTTTTTTTTTTTTTAAATTCAATTGCTCAGTGACATTTTTTTAAAGACTGACAGCATTAAGTGGGTCCATGAGCTTCCCAAGCATTTTCAATGGACACATGGACATGCACTCATTCCTCCTGCTGCTAGAAAGAGAGAGAGGCTGTTATTTTCCTCCCTCTTTAAGGCAGGGACATACTTTTTCCAGACTTCCAAATTCTGATTTTTTACCAGACCTAAAGACATAGTCCACTACCCTCTGCCCAAAAAAGTTGAACTGACATCATCCTCATGAAGTCTGTTTCTGAGATGGGGCCTATATCAGTAACTGGTAATTTTGGGAGTCTTTAGCACAGCTCTAGCAGAAATGCACAGCTAAAGCAGCTTGAGAAAAAACATGTTTTAGTGTGGGAAATGGACCTGCAAAACCTAAATCTGGAAGAGGACTTAAGAGCCAGTGACAATATAAAAAGCATAGTATTTTTGTTAATTGGCTATATTTTACTTAGAAAATGCTCTTTAAATTCTATTTACATAAAAATGACAAGCACTGAATCACCACACAAAAAAAGATTATTCAAAATTGCAAATGTTTGCAATCTTCTTTTAGCAAGTTCAAGCTAATAACCTTAGCTTTTAATACAATCCTATGATATATTTTTCTTACTCTGAAAATAAACCCACAAGTTTTAAAATATCATTACTGGACAACTGAAAATTAGCATTTTAAATGCATTTTTTTCTCATTACGGAAATTGACCCTTTCTTGAGGTTCAGGGTATATGTGCACACATTCAAAGGAAACTAGATTCTGCTTAATCATGAAATGTAAGGAAACTATAATCCTGTGTGTTTCCAGTGTCTGTGGATATTTTTCACAACTCTGGCTAAGCCAAAGAGGTTTTCTATGAAGGACAAAGATCTGCTAATCAGCAGTAATGGAAATAAAGAATTTTTGTGGATCACACTGTCTGAGGATTTTAAGTGTTGTCCAGTGGTCCTTAGGGAAAGAAGACTTCAGAAGGAACACACATAGCAAAACAGTAGTAACATTTTTCACCATCTGTAATTAATAAAACAAGCAATAAAGTAAGTGTAGCTATGCAACTAACACTGAAGTTTCTACAACAGACAAGAGTTTCATCTTTTTATCAGTATATTTTCAATGACTGACACCATCTACAGAGATGGTGTATTATGAAGAAAATCATCTAGTGCCAAACAATCAGTGTCTTTCACTTCCTCTGAGCTGCAGATACATTTTATGCATCACATGAGTCTACATACCAACCCACAGTCATACAAAAAAACCTTCCCCAAGCCCACATCCTCACTGCCCTTCTTTGGAATGTTTTAGCATCTGAGACAGTGGCAGAGAAGTGAGATATTTCTACAGCTGCATCCAATGCCCTCCTCATTGCTTCTTGCTTTTCATACTTCTTTCATGGGAGGAAGGCTTTCTGATTTGTGCTGGTATGACAAGAACGCTTGTATCAAATACAAAAGCATGTTCACGATACTGTTCAAATCAGAGTGAATAAGCTAAACTATTTCTGACACTATAGCTTTGTTGTCCTTCAGTCATAGCTGATTGTTTATTTCTGTGAGTTATCAGGGTTTCTAATTAAATCAAAGAATTAAGAGGAATTATATAAAACTATATGTAGCTATACTCATTTAAATTCTGTATCAGTTCATACTCCCATGCCCAATTAGGAGCAGGCTGTATTGTTATTCACTGGTGTTGCAAAAGTGCTCTGGAAGTGCTTCTGCCGTGTTTCTGAAATCAGATCAAAATGCCAGTACATATTTTTAACATCATTTTGTAAAAGAAGAATAAAAGGAACTCAGCTCTTTACAAAACTGAGCCATGACAATAGGACTCCTTTTGCATCGTTTATCTGATACAACAAAATACATTTTAAAAATCCAGCATATTTCAAATTTTGAACTAGTCTAAGAACATATGAAGGTGTTCTCAATGTTTCCTCAAATGTATGTTCTGTATCCAGTCTTTTGCTGCTTCAGCAGGCTCCCAGCAGAAGTACCTTGAATACCTCAAGGGCATCCTGTCTTGCTGTACATCATTATTGAAATAATATTGAGTAGAATCTCCAGGCTATTAAATTTACTTTTTCATTGAAAACTATGATTCATCTGAATGAAAGCAACTCTGCAACGAATACAATCTGCACTTCTCTGATCAGATGTTTTCCACTGCACTTGCTTGAAGTGCTACCTTGAACTTGGCAGAAAAAGTAGCCTATTTTTCACGGTACCAATTCTATCATTCATCCAAAGGTAGATAAATAGTTAATGTTCATGTCTGGGTTTCAATACAGTCTGCTTTATTATAGCACCTGGCACTGAAGATCCCAAGGCAATTTGTGAACATTAATCAGCTGAGCCTCATGACTATTCAGCCAGTATGTTATTACACAGACTGATAAACAGAGCTGTGAAAACACATCAGATTTCTCAGTAGGGATGTAAGAGATGAGCAGTAGCTTTGTCTTCCTCTTTGACCCCTAGAATAGGACTCTTCTGTCATTTCATCTAGAGGGGCACAGAAAGCAGCACTAGTAAGAGAAGCAGACTGGTTCCAGTACTCCTGTCAGCAAAAGACACTGAGCAAAGAAACAGGTTTTAGTCCAAACACTACCAGTTAGAATCCCTACTCCCTTCCCTTCTGTCCTTTCCTGCCACTGCTGTTGACCCAGTGTCCTGGACCTTGCCCGGGAAGCTGGAACTAGCTGACTCCTGGAAGTGGCTGTTGAAAGGCTCTTGAAAGATCTGGTTCCTCGGGGCTACAAAATCTTAACGTAGTGTGGCTGAAGCCAGGAAGGAGTTACAAGTCACTGTGTTATTCTTTGCAGGCTGGGCACATCCACATGTTGCCAGCTAAAAAACTGAAGTAGATCAGTTTACTCCCTCACTGATCTTTTCTTATCCAACCTCTCCACATTTTGCAGTGATATTTTCTTACATGCCAAAGGCTGTAACATCGTTACGTCTGGACCTAATGATCTGATCAAACTAGTTTTAATCAATTTAGCTCAAGCACCAAGAGTGGGAAGATGCAGGCTTCACTGTAGGCTATCCAATCCTACCAGGACACCCAGGCAAGCAGCTACTCCTGCTGCCTTCTGCACTGCCGCAACTCCACTGAGAGTGGTCCCAAATCAGATGCCCTGGCTGCGCACAGCTGTAATCACACCTCCCGACAGCTGTGTCCGCACCTTCACAACAGGAGAGAGCCCCTAGCCTGAGGCATTCATGGTTTAAACAGACAAGGCAGAGAAACAAAATCAGAAATCACAAACAAAACTGAGAGTAGTTATGTGGATTCCAGCATGAAGGTAAGCGTGAAGGATACATGTCCAAAATCAAAGGCTGTTAACTGCTTTTACTAGCAATGAAAGCTCTGCCTTGGAGAAAGCAGAGGCAGAAAAGCTGAGGCTAAGCTCATAAATTGAGTGTTTGTTGCTCTTCCCTTCAGTGACTCCATGACATGTTATCATGTCATTCTTGTAAATGTTTCAAAGAAAAGTTTTTGAATGATAGTGCTTTGCTATAGTCCCTGTTGGGAAGGGCTATACAAACATCTGCCATACACTTCTCAAATAAAATTCAACCAGAGCTTTTGTTTACATGGTTTGTCCTTAAAACCAGCACTCTGCAACTCTCAGCCATAGCTGCCTTATTAAAAATGAACCTTTTATTTTAAACACAGTACATTTTGTAACAGGAAAATCAATATACAGTAACCCAGAGTACTGCAGACAACAGCTGCAGGACATAATCTGATGACAGAAAGTTGAGAACAGTATTTTGGCAGTTATATGTTCAGCTAATCTTTCACTTTTTGTTTTTAATGGCACCGAGCTATAAAGATCTCTCCCCACCTGGTGACTGAAAGCTACACAAAATGAAGAAACCAAGAAACCACTGTTTTCAACATTAAAGGCTATTATCTAAAAAATAAATCAGTTGTTACCTATTTTTTTCATTTATAGGATACTGTAAGAGGATAGCTCTTCTCAGAGCTACAATGAGTTAACAACAGTCTCAGTGATCTCACAGCCCTTAGCAAAGATATAGGGAGATACTTAAGCATAAAGAGTACCTTGAAAAGACTACTTTATACTTTTCACTGCCTTCACTTTGGCTGTGGGTAAGGGTGCTCAGCTCTGTTCAAGGCTGGGATTCATCATGTACCTATGCTTAGAAAAGTTATCTAGGTAGAAAAGAGGAGATGAAGCCACAGATGTGCCTGGTACATAGAACAAACATAAAGATCTTAATAGAGATTTTGATCACCTGTTACTTTTTCTTTATTAACAGAAAGTTTACAATTAGAAACAAACTACTCCCATGTATGTTTTTATGCCATCATTAAATACTGAATCTATGAATAAACTAGGGATTTTTGGAACCCACCTATTTTTCCTTAGAAGGTGGGAGATGATTAGTTCTCTAAAATGGCATGTGATTCACTTCAATTACAAAATAAACTCAGATAAATTTCCTTGGTGAGCAAAAGGCAAAGGGCACTAGATCATTTTGTACTGAAATCGCTTTTTTCACCACATCCCAGTGAGTATATTTTTCTCAGATAATGAAACTTTTTTTTAAAAGGTTTCCAATCCAGATTTATGTGGCAAATGCTTTAATTAAGATTGATATATTCCATTTGTTTAGCTTTCAGATTTTGATATGGAAGTTTTAACTTGAACTGCATTGCCCTCTAGCGCTGTGACGGGGCCAGCCGCAGTGATGTCACTAGCACATGCAGTGTGAGCACAGCCAGCGAGTTCATGCAGAGCTGCCTAAATGCTGACAAACCCTTCTTGGAGACGCATGTCACAGCAGCTAGACAGGGGCATCCTTCCAACAGAACCACAAATGCAAAAGGGAAAACAGTAAACCTGTCTTTTATTGCAGGGACGTCATGATCGAAACAGCTACTTTCGAGCTCCAGCCAAGACTTCTGCCTGCTAATTTCTGTTTAAACGAGTTCGTATGAGAAATTAAGCAAGTTTGAACAGCCTATTATTCCTGACAGGCTTCAGAAGACTTCACGCTGTGCAAGTTTTACATGCTCATGGCTAACAGCTTCCTGGGGAGATGAGTTCTCAATCTAAAACTGGCCGGGGCTTTGCAGCAACTTCTTGGGTAGAGAGATAACTTTCAGCTGAACTCAAAGCATCTGCGTGTTGTGCAAGGGATCCAATCATAACTTGCTATGGAGGAAGATTTTTAAGATGAATACCTACCTTGGCCATAAATCCAATTCATCAATACCTGGATATTTGAAAGTGTCTGCACTAAATAATGGCAATCTTTCTGCAAACAACTCTAATGAGACAGCAAGCAATCTGGATTCACCTGCCTTGGATATCAGTAGGGCGATAATTGTGGGGCTTATCCTAGGTGCCTTTATACTTTTTGCTATTATAGGTAATATCTTGGTAATTCTCTCTGTTGCTTGCAATAGACATTTAAGAATCCCTACAAACTATTTCATAATTAACCTCGCAATAGCAGATTTGTTGCTGAGTTTTACTGTCCTTCCATTCTCTGCTACACTGGAAATCCTTGGCTACTGGGTTTTGGGGAGGATATTTTGTGATATCTGGGCAGCTGTTGATGTTCTATGCTGTACAGCTTCTATTTTAAGTCTGTGTGCAATTTCTATAGATAGATATATAGGGGTACGTTATTCTCTCCAATATCCAACTTTGGTAACAAGAAGAAGGGCAATTTTAGCTCTCCTAGGTGTCTGGGTCCTTTCCATGGTGATTTCTATTGGGCCTCTTTTGGGCTGGAAAGAACCAGCACCCAAGGATGATAAAGAGTGCCGCATCACTGAAGAACCATTCTATGCTTTGTTTTCTTCCTTGGGGTCATTTTACATTCCTTTAATCGTCATCCTCGTGATGTACTGTCGGGTCTACATAGTGGCAAAAAGGACTACTAAAAACCTGGAAGCTGGGGTTATGAAAGAAATGTCCAACTCCAAGGAGCTGACTTTACGGATTCATTACAGGAACATTCATGAGGACACATTAAACAACACCAAATCCAAGGCTCACAATCCCAGGAACTCCTTAGCTTTCAAACTTTTTAAATTCTCTAGAGAAAAGAAGGCAGCCAAGACGCTGGGAATCGTGGTTGGCATGTTTATCTTGTGCTGGCTACCTTTCTTCATTGTTCTGCCACTAGGTAAGTTGGTAATCAAGGGATTGCAAGGGGAGGGGGAGGAAGAGGATTAGATGTTTACTACAAAAATATCATAGAAAAAAATCAGATGAATGATATGTAGATGTCATTTTGAGAACTGCAGTGAACAGATGAAAGGAAGGGAAGTGAAAGTGATTTACTTCTGATGTTGGCTTTTTCAGAGAGTCATGCTGCAACTTTGTGAAGTGTGCAGCCTGCAGAAAGTCTGCTCATCTGGTAGTGCGTCTCAGTAATGGGGCAGATGTCAAATCAGGGGACAACATCTTCAGAGTTTATATATTAAATCCCCCTTTATGGTCTTTGAACTGAATTAGGTTTCAGAAACATTTTTATAGGATGTTTTAACAAAAATCCTAGATAAGAACGCAGAATTTCAGCACTGGAATGTTCTTGGTTTAATTTACTGTTACATGTTTGGACTATAATACAGTAGGTCTTCTGGCATTATCAGGTGTCTTAAATGGAAATGAACCTGATCTAATGATGAGGTGCAAAACTCCCCTGAGCTTTGGGAAGCTGAAGAAGTTCTAGTTCTCAGTTCAAACATCACTGATCAAATCCTAAAAGCAAACACACAAAGCCCACTGATCCCCACAGAAAGGTTCTCATTGGTTTCAATAGGTCTTGCTTAGTTCAGGCATTTCAGGAGATTGCCATGTGAGGTTTTGGCAGCTACTTTGTTCACTTTCAACTTTAAAATATTATTAAAGCATTTGATGTAGCCCTTTGTTTGCTTTTTTGATTTGCTCTGTGTTCCCAAGTCCTTCTGAAATTTGCTTGTATTGTCTTTCATACTAGCACTACCTCTGAAACGGAATATCTCAAGATATTGAATTAGTAAGCTCTCAAAAATATCTGTCCAAAATTCATTTCTCTGAGACAGAGACAATCTGGCAGCCTAAATATGGAAAGAGGTGGAAAAAGAAAAAGGAGAAAAAGCCTTTATTAATGTTCTGAATTCGTATTTACTTAGTTACCCTACCAAAACATTTCTAATTGAGTGGTAAGCGAATATTTTTAGAGACTGTTATAGAAAACCAAACTGAGTTCAGCAACCTGGCCTAGTGAAGTATTATAAAATTGTAATTTCAGTGAATGTGTAATACCATTTAGACTAGAATCTTTACTGCAAGACAACTACTTAAGATATTGCAGGGCAACTTTATAATCTCTAGCTTAATGTATCATAAACTTAAAAATCTTTATGATTCAAGATCTGCATAAAGCTAATGTTAAGGATGTGAAAAATTCCGAAGAGAAGGAAAATTGTGAGCAAAGTTCTCTTTGGCTACTGAAGTTTAAGCCCTTGTGCTGGCTCTTAAAGAAAGTTTATAACACAGAGCAAGTTTCCAACCATTGCAAAAATACATACCTGTGGACAGAAATATATTTTAACCACATTGTACCAGTAGTAGTACTAGATATGTAGCTAGTAGGTCATGATCCCCTGATAAAGTAGATTCCCTCCTTGATTTTGTATTACTGAAGGAACTCTGGAGAAAAAAAGCAAATGTGAATGCAGTAGAGCATATCCTTAGCTAGCAGAAGCCAGTATAGCTACTGATGCTGTCAATGAACACAGATGCAGACCAGTCCATTAAAAACATTATGGTCACAGGGCAGAAGCAATGCGAGAAACAATTAAGTTTCCTGAAAGAGTGTCAGTTTTCCCTTTGAGAAGTTATTTCAAAACTCCTGGTCTTTCCTGGGAGGTTTAATGAGTCGTTGCTTAAGACACCCGAGTGGAGAATGTATTGCTTGTCACAATACAATTTTATCTTTCATATAAATTGTGTCCAAGGCATCAGTGAGGTGACAGGCTGCGAGCCTCCACCACAACACACTGTGTGCTGGTAGAGGTGCTGGGTGGGCTGAAGGGCTAAAACCACTGCTGTGGCCTCTGACCCACCACAGACTGGGTGTCTGTAACCCCCAACACGCTCACTTGAGTGCTGTGAGCACTTGGTGCCCCACAGAGCTGAGGTTCAGAAAGAGTTACCATTGTGTTGGTTAGAAGAGTGAAAAAATCAGCATCTTGGCATTGCAATGAAGCCTGCTGGCTCCCCAGTCTTCTGCCTAGAAATCCTTTCAGGGGCCCAACTCTTAACTGACAGCCTTTAGTCTAAGAAAGGGAGAAAAAAGGTATACATAGTACCCAATATAGTATCCACATGCATTTAAACAGTAGGTACTTTCCCTTTGTTTTGCTGACTAGGAATAGGGCTGGTTTTGTTCCCTGTCCCTGATTTTTTTTTTTTTTTAATTATTCAGCACACTCCAGAACCTTGGATTTTTCATTTCTGTGTATCAGTGCAAAGTTAATTAATGATGTTAGGCATGACTAAAGCATTGCTCACTAAAACAGGTGGGGAAAAGACCTTTTTGTGACATGCATAATGCAGCCATCCTTAACTGGAGAAGAGGATACAGCAGTGGAGGAAGACTTCTTGCTGAGTGCTGCATTCTTCATACCAGAAATCTTTTGCTTTGTGTCTTGAAGTCACAAAATTAAATGAAATGCTATTAAGAACCCTTACAAAAAGCACACAATGGTATGAAATAATTTTCAGTGATAGGCAAACTGTAGAATCCAAAAGGTGCTGATGATTTACAAAACCCTCCATAGGTGCCCTGGACTGCTTTAATCACAACCCACTCACTCATCAGTGTAGGACTGCAAACTGCAATACCTTTTCTGCTACTGAGTCCAGATTAGATACTTACCTTCACTTTACCAGAAGGATAGGCTTCTTCCTTAGCCTGTATTTTTCATACCTTATATTTGCATCATTAACCCAAATCATACCCTCATATCTGCATCTTTACTGTTTTTTGTTGCTCCCTGTTTCACTCAGTAATGCCATGACTCTGGAGAATGGCGTTAGCAGAGCAACTCTGGATTTCTGAGGATCCAACCACAAAACATTTGACAAGTCAGTAAACATTCTTTCTGCAACACCCCAAAACCACGTCTTAACAAATCTGCTTATATGTAGAAGAGCTTCCTTCATGTTAAAAGTGTTCTCAGCTCTTCTACTAGTTTCCCAGACAAAATTATAATTCTTCCACTCTAGCATTTCCATACATTCTGCAGCTACCCATTTTGATATCCCAGACAAAGGGTTATGGCATCAGGTAGCAGATATATACTGGGAACTGATGAGGTGCTGAAAGCAGGGATGTTGCTTGAATAAATATTCCATGACAAAGGAAGAGAAATAATATTAACACTCTCAGATTGTTTTTCAAGAAAGAATCAAAAGGCTCTGCAAGGAAAGCTCTCTGACAGAGCTCTATACAGCTATGGAGAGCAATTACAGCACTGGCACTATGACGTACTGAACATCATGACACAATCAGAACAAAGAATGACCCACGATCTCTTTTTGTAGGACTGAATCATGCTGCCTTTAGTGTTAAGCACCTGATGATGCAGCAAAACTGGTATCAAAGAGAATCATGTGAGAAATTTGGTTTTATTCCAGTAGCTACCAGATATTTTTTCCAGATAGCAATAGAGCTATAGAATATCCTTGTTGTGCACATTCATAAATGCTCCATGTCTGTAAACAGTTGTGGTGCTACTCAAAATTATTTGTGGTACAGCATAAAAAATGAAATGAAGACGTGTCTTTGAGACAACTTCTTGTGCCATAAATTCAGTGACTCAGCTTTGAAGAGTAAATATCTTGCTTCTTTAAAAATGTTTTTCTTCCCCCTCATACAGTCCTTTCTTAGGCATCAGGACTATACTAAATATGTCTTGCTGAAAAACACTGAGTAAAATATTTTTATGTAGATACTAGAGCCCTGCAGAAATAAGGTAACACTCATTAAAACTCCCTCCTTTAAACAAAGGAATATCCAATTTTATGCCAATGCTTTTATTTAAAAAATGAACCTAAAATGAAGGATCATATGTTTCCCCCTGGCTACTAGGTAAAAGTTTAGTCTAATTCCTGTTAATTAAGATATCAGAGTGGCTTGCCAGTCTTCTCCCAGATACACCCCCTCCAACCCCCCCCAAAGGGAAAACTCAGCACCTCCAGTACTTTAACCAACTTTAACTAACTTCCCCAGTCCACTGCTTAACTCCAGTGGAGATCAGCGGAGCATTATTTACTTCCCAGTTCAGAACCTGACTCCCCCCCGCTCCCACAAAACCTGTGATCTTATCCACTGAAGTCAGAAACAAAATTCTTGTAACTTAACTGGCAGTGGGATAAAGTCCCAAGAGCCTCATAATGAAGATACAACTGTTTTGACTATCCTTATATATTAAGCTTTTGAAACCCCTCTATAAAATAATAAAAAGAACATAAAATATTCTTCATGCTACAGGTCAGCCAATACAAAATTTTTCTTAAAATAAAATGTTATTCAAGTACAGTATGTAGATTTATGTTACATCAGGCCAACCTCTGCATCTCTGCACCAAGAATACCAAATTAGGCCACTTAGTTTCCCATGGGAAACACTTCAAGATGTTAGGTCCAGTACTGTCAATGCTACTGGGTTCTGCTTTCTGCAAGGCTTTAGGCCTGGTTTGTCTTTCATCTCATTTTGGTCTTGCCCCCTCTTCCCCTCTCTAACTAGCCTAGCTCTCTAGATTTGATGCCCTCAAGTTAATAGTTATACAGAATTTGGACAAATCAATGATATATGTGGCAATCTGACCCTCTGCCCATTTGCAGGTCAATCTTTGGTACAATGTTCAACTGCACGGGTGATAGCAGCAACCTTCTCCTCCTATTTTCTAGCCAATTCCTGTAAAACTAAACATCATAAGGGCATTTATTGACCAGTACAGCATGTTTCGTCACATGTGGAGGACTAGATTATTTCAAGATGATTCATTTTACTACTAAAATAGCATCCCTTAAGCCCTTGTTTAAGCCTTTTCATTTGCAAAGGATGCCAATTATCAGTTACTTAAAGAACTCTACTTTCTAGAACAAAACCGTTTGTTATCAAAGCAGATG